AGGTGCCTGGTTTTGGGAAGATGATCGTCACCGCTAGTAATGATCTAAATGAAGAGACGATCGACGCTTTGAATAAGCAGGTGATTCCCTAACCAAACTCTCAAGTGCCCTCATAAGATGGATTTTTTACTAACCGTATGTGTTTTTTATCTTCTTAGGGACATGAGGTTGATGCTTTTGGTATTGGAACGTACTTAGTCACTTGCTATGCGCAAGCTGCTTTAGGTTGCGTTTTCAAACTTGTGGAGATTAATAATCAGCCTCGGATAAAACTCTCTGAAGATGTTACAAAGGTTAAATCTCCCTCTCTTTCTCTCTGGTTTCAGATCACTTTAATGTTACGTTGCACTTATTTTGACTAACATTCTTGTTTGTTCAGGTATCAATACCGTGTAAAAAGAGAAGCTACAGATTGTACGGGAAAGAAGGTTACCCTCTTGTGGATATAATGACAGGAGAAAACGAACCAGCTCCAAAGGTAAAAAATGATAGCTCTCTCTACAATCACTAATCTCATTACCTTATTGCCTTTTACATAGTTTGATTTTTCGTTTCTTGAACTTTAAAGGTCGGTGAGCGTTTGCTATGTCGTCACCCTTTCAATGAATCTAAAAGAGCGTATGTGGTGCCACAACGTGTCGAAGAGCTCCTCAAATGTTATTGGCGTGGAAATGCAGGTAGAGATGTTTCATTACTGTAAAGCCATGGTGCATGCATTATACTAATTACTGATTCTGCTTCTCTCTTTCTCTGTAATGAAGATGAAGCGAGAGAAGAATTACTGCCATTGAAAGAGATAAGAGAGCGTTGCATTAAACAGCTTGAAAATATGCGACCTGATCATATGAGGAGGTTAAACCCAACTCCTTACAAGGTTTGGTTCTCTCCTACAATCTGTTTAATAAAAAACTATGTATCGGTTTTGGATTTCTGAGAGATCTCTGTAAATGTTTTTTTTCTCCATGGTTGCAGGTTAGTGTCAGCGCGAAGCTGTATGATTTCATCCACTTCCTATGGCTCAACGAAGCACCTGTTGGTGAATTGCAGTGACAACCAAAAAGAAGAAAGAAAATCTTGTTTGGTTGGAGTAATGTATATATTATATACCACATCATCAGAACTTGCAATTAGAGTTTGTTTTATATATATTGCGTTGATTGGAACTTTGTTTTTAACCGATTCAATAAATTTTTAATGGTTGAAATGAAATTACACATCTCAATTGGTGAAATATATTTTAACTCTCGATATAATTTGAAATGAAATGTATATTTTAACAGTTGAAATGAAAAAAAAAAACATTTTAACAATTGAAATGAAATAAAACATTCGATTGAAAGTATTGACATATTTTCAACGGTTCAAATATATTAAGGGTTGTTCTCTTTTGTTCTATGATTCTATTAAACACATATAATATTTATCTCTGACTTTCTCACATGGCTGAAGTTAACACAACATTCTTCTATCAAACATCTATTGAGTCAACAAATTGGGAGTATTTTCATCATGGTTGCAATCCACCATCGATTCACTTTTAATTTGTTCAACATTAACTTTTATAACTGAGATCTACTTAAATTATCTTTTCATCTCTTTAAAATATTTAACAAGTAAGTTGGTTTTTATAGCGGAATAATAGAGAAGTTGTATTTCTTTTTGAAGTTCATATGAAAAACTGTCGCATATTTAAACAAACAAACAAAAAACAGTTAAACTGAAAGCTACAGAATAATAAACAAAGTTTGGAACTTTATGACAAGAAAAAACAAGATTGTGTTGACTTTTTTTCTTTCTTGCAAAGTATTTGAATTCCATTAAAAATGAGAAGATTTGTAAATTATTATTACAAAAGGTTTAACAAATAGGAAAATCCTTGCCAAAAAAAGAATTAAAAACAAGGAGAATCCTAAGAAAGAACTACGAATGGAAAAGATTTCAAGAAAAAGGTGAGCCAAATTTGCATTAAGTCATCATAAGCTTTTCGTTTTCTTTTGGCAAGAATCGCATCACGGACAAGTCGGTGAATGATCTTGAAGATTGCTTGAGGGGTGCAAGAGGTGATTGTGTTGACTCTGTCTTCAAATTTCTTACATTGATACAGTTACTTGTTCAACTAATTAAATTTAAAAGGTTTGGAACAAAACCCAATAGTCTTCACTTGAGATCCTCACTCTCTATCAGAACATATCACTCCAAGATCAGGCCAAAAAGCCATAGATTGTGAAAATTATCCTTTTATTTACAACACACATGCATGCATAGTAATTGACATTGTTATATATATATATATATATATATATGTTATATATATACATATAAATTACCTAACGGACCTAAAATATGCTGGCTTTAGTTTGGTAAAAAACTTACAAATAATAATGTAAAAACCGACAATTCTATAGCTTTAAGCCTTTAATTACTAAGAAAACCGGAATTGCCAAACCTAACCTGCAGTACGAAGAACATTGTTCGGTTTGTGCTTATCATAAACAAACGTAACTTTGAATTCGGATTGTCTGCAAATAGCCGTGGCATGGAGGGCAGATCATTATTGGACTGCCTCATCGGTCAACCCCACCAACCTTTGGCTATATAATATATAACCAATGAACATTTTATATTATTATAATTTTGTTTATTTATATTTGTGCGTCTTTCAAAACGTTGTAGCTCTTTCCATGACTCGTTATGGGTAGCTCCATCCTGGCAAAGCTTTTATTGGATAAAAAGTAAACTTGTCGAGATAAAAACAGAGGGTTTACAAGAAAAAAAAAAGAAGGTGGAGTTTATTTGGATAATCATATTTAAAAAACCATTTTTCGGTTCTTCTCTCTCTCGAGAGCTAAGCCACCGTCGCCTTCTGTGTAACCTTAGTAAAGTCTCCCCGGAGCGTTGCTCCGATGTCCGGCTCGCCGGATCCCCCTCCGGTTCCTCCTCCTCCTATCTCCATCCCCTCTGACCTCCTTTTTCTCCCGGATCTCTCCCCTCCTCCACCCCCTTCTTTGGGATCTGATGTGGTTATGTCAGATCCAGATCCTTCCTCTCCTTTCCTGCCCCCTCCCACTTCAACCCTGATTATCTCTGTCCTGATTCCCCCTCCGTCCTTCGATAAAGGTATTCTGGGTTCGACTCCTCCTTCTTCGCCGTCCATAGATGCCTGCGCAGGTCTTTCTGCTGGTTTCCCGGGCAATGGTTTCTCCGCTGGTGTCCCGGGCAGCTCTGCTTGCGCAGGTTTTTCAGCTGGTCTCCCGGGCAGTGGTACCTCCGCTAGGCTCCCGGGCAGTAGTCCCTCCGCTGGTCTCCCGGGCAGTAGTCCCCTCGCCGATCTCCCGGGCAGTGGTTCACATATTTCGAGCTCCATTTTGGATCTTCACGATGACACCCACCCCAAAAGCCCTTCTCCGGAGGATTTTAACTGGGCAGCTCGCGCTAAAGCAGCCACCAAATTCCCCGAAACATCGCCAGAGATATCGGTAACTCCCAACGGAAACCCTAGGGTCAAAATCCCAAATTCGGTGTTTGAAAGAGGCGCAAAACTCCACTCTGACTACATTGTCGGTATTTTCTATGGTAAAGCTCCATCCTACGGCAAAGTGTGGGGAGTTCTAAACTACTTGTGGGGGAAGGATCGCAGGGTATCCATCCATAATCTCTCCCCGAATGCTTTCTTATTTCACATCCCTTCCGCTGCCTTACGACAGAAAATACTCCAGCATGAGCTATGGCGTGTGGGAGACTCCCCTTTCTTTGTTGCTGAATGGAAAGCCTCCTACAGCATGAACCCCCCGTCTCTCCAAAGGGCTCCTATCTGGGTGAAGATCCTCAATATTCCTTTCGATTTGCTCACAAACGAGGATCTAAGTTTCATTGCTAAACCACTCGGGCGGATTATTGATGCCAAGCCTTTCACCACCGTCAACTCGGCAGAAATAAAAGTAATTGTCAATCTCACCAAAGCCCTGCCTAGCTCGATGGAAGTGGAAACAGAAGACGGGCACATAGTTCAGCTATCCATCTCCTACCCTTGGTTGCCACCACTATGCCCCATTTGCAACAAAATTGGTCATAAGGCTTCCCTCTGTCCTAAATCTTCAGGTTCAAAGACCTCCAAAGTCTACGTCCCAAAAGCAAAGCAAGAAAAAGGCAAATCCAAGAAAGATGCTTTAGTTGAAAGCTCCTCTGGTTTGTCGCCGTTTGAGAAAACTGACGTTAATCAACCTGATCCCCACTCATCGGTGGTGCTCTGCACGAAGCCGAGTATGAATCCTGCTTCCTCAGCTAATATAGATCTCTCCTCAGACACTACTCAACCTTCGTCGGGATTGGTGGTATGTGAAAATCCCTACTTAGCTCAGCCATTCTCCCCACTAGAGGCAAATCAAAGCTCTTCGCTTCAAACAGTTGCTAAGGCAGCGTTAAACTCCAGTAATCATCCTTCCATCGAGAAGGTTGTAATCTCTAACCCTTCGACAGAGGCTCCTACCAGCAAAGCTCAGGAAGCCGAGACTCTATTCTTCAAAGCGGTCAACACGGTTCTTGCTCGTACCAAAGAGCCTTCCGGTAATATGTCTCTAGTGCTAAAATCAAATAACCCTTTTGAACTCCTAAATAAGGACGAGGACTTCGAGTTTCTTCACCAAGACAATGATGATGTTGATGAGCAACTGGATCCTATTAGTACAGCGATGGTAATCACCAACCATTCTGTCCGGTTTTCTCAGTTCCATGGCTCACCTTCACCATCATCATGATCCTCTTCAAAGCAAAAGCAAAAGAAAAGAAAGTTGACTTCGAAGAACTCCCCGTCCTCAGGCGGTGGCCCTCCCTCTACAGTAGGGAGAAGTCACCAACACTAATCTATATTTATGTCGGATACATTTTTTTGGTATGTGCGGGGTATTAACGATTTTTTGAAGCATCGGCCACTCGCCAACTGGTTAAATTCTTGACCGGTAACGTTTGGAGCTTTGTTGGAAACGCATGTTAAGGAATCAAGTATGAACCAAGTTTTGTCTTCCATTGGACCAGAATGGAATGTTTTATCGAACTACCAGTTTTCAGAGTTGGGGAAGATATGGATTCTGTGTAAATCCCCAACTACTATCAATCATCTTTTTTCGGACCTTCAATCCATCACCTGTGAGATTATCCTTGAGTCTGGTATCTCTTTTGTCTACACGGCGATCTACACGTCAAACGATATCGATGAAAGGAAGCTTCTTTGGTCGTCTCTTAGGGACACCTTTATATCCTTTAATCTCAGCGAAAGGGCATGGCTTGTCAATGGCGATTTTAATGAGATTTTATCTCTGGCTGAGACTTCCAATACCCGAATCTCCTCATCTACAGCTCAAATGAGAGAGTTCGGAAGCTGTTTATCTGATCTGGGGCTTTTTGATCTGGCCTCTCAAGGGCCAAAGTTCACCTGGTCAAACAACCGCCAGTCAGATCCAGTGGCCAAAAAGTTGGATCTTTGTTTAATAAATGATCAGTGGTTACTCTTGTTTCCTTCTGGTCATTGTTCTTTTGAGCCGCCAGAATTTTCCGATCATTCTCCTTGTCACATCAAGATGTTTACGCCTCCTCCCTCCTTTGGTTCCCGTCCTTTCAAGTTCCTAAATCTCCTCACCAACCACCAGGATTTCTTATCGACGGTTAAATCTGCTTGGGAGGAAGCGGGTGACTTAGCTACAAATCTTCGCTTTCTATGTTTCAAGCTTAAAAGCCTTAAGAGGCCTATCAAATCCCTTTGTAAAGAGAACTTCAGTGAAATAGAAAGAAGAGTCTTCGAGGCAAACTCCATTCTGAAAACTCTGCAGCTTGTGACGCTCTCTGATCCTACTCCGGCGAATCTTCTGATGGAAAATAATGCCCGGACTTCATGACAATCCCTTCGTCTCGCCGAGGAAAGTTTTTTCCGTCAGCGATCAAGAATCAAATGGCATGAATTGGGTGATAAAGGCACAAGGTTTTTTCATCACGTGACTAAGGCGAGAAATGCCTCTAATGCCATTAAGTACTTGAAGCTTCCCAACGGCATGAAGACCGAATCTCTCGAAGCCACCCACAAACTGGCAGAGAGATATTTTGAGGGATTCCTTTCGACTATTAGAGGTTCCTACTGTCCTTTTCTTCCTACCTATCTGGACAGGTTAATCTCAACCCACTGTTCATCTCTAGACTGCTCTTACTTGGTAAGCGAAGTCTCTATTTCGACTATAAAGGAAAGTCTTATGGCTCTCCCTTCAAACAAGACTCCGGGCCCGATGGCTTCCCAGCTGAATTTTTCCGGGCTTCTTGGACTGTTATTGGGCATGAAACAACAGCGGCAATTAAGCAGTTCTTTACTTCATCCTTTATCCCATCATCTCTCAACGCTACTTCCCTCGTGCTTATTCCAAAACGTCGAGGAGCTGATGAGTTGAAGGACATTAGGCCGATATCCTGCCTTAATACAGTCTACAAGATCATCGCTCGAATTTTATCTGATCGAATCAAGCATCTTCTCCCTGCTCTGATTCTTTCAAATCAAACGGCTTTCATAAAGGACATGCTTTTGCTGGAAAACGTCCTTCTAGCATCAGAAATTGTTCAGGGTTACCATCTGGAAAATCAGTCTCCTCGTATCACTCTAATGGTGGATATATCTAAAGCCTTTGACAGTGTCAGATGAGACTTTCTGCTCTCTACTCTGGCCGCTTACCACTTCCTGGAATCTTTCATCAAGTGGATTCGAGCCTGTGTCTGCTCTCCCAGGTTTTCTATAAGTATGAATAGAGTGTCCTCTGGCTTCTTCAAAGCCAACTCGGGCCTGCGACAGGGAGACCCACTCTCCCCTATCCTTTTTGTTCTCATTATGAATGTATTATCGCTAATGCTAAATAAAGCAGCAAACGACGGTATTTTAAAATTTCATCCCGATTGCGAGGATCTCAAGATTACTCATCTAACCTTTGCTGATGACTTACTCATCTTTTGTGAAGGCTCAGAAACTTCTCTAGCGGGTGTGTTCACTGTTCTCTCTCAGTTTGAGAAGATGTCGGGCCTTTCAGTAAATATCTCAAAGTCTACCATGTTCGCCTCGGGTGTTCTGAATCCAGTCCTTGATAGCATTCAAAGGAAATTCTCCCTGGTGCCAGGTCCCTTCCCAGTCAGATACTTGGGGTTACCGCTGTGCTCAAAGAGGCTTTCCATCAAGGACTGTGACCCGCTTTTATCCAAAATAAGGATGATCATGAATGGATGGATGCATCGCCACTTGAGTCTTGCAGGTCGGCTCAGGCTCATCTCTTCTGTTATTATGGGAATCGTTGGTTTTTGGACAGCAGCTTTCATCCTGCCAAAGTTAATCTTAAAGAAGATCACCAGCCTGATGTCCTCCTTCCTTTGGCACGGTTCTTTTGATCACGGCTCGGGCGCCCGGGTTTCCTGGGACAGCTTATCTTACCCGAAAGAGGAAGGAGGGTTGGGTATCAGATCGATATCATCTTGGAATAAAACTTGTGCCCTAAAACTTATTTGGATGCTGTACTTTCGATCTGGCTCAATATGGGTTGCTTGGGTGAGGAACAAATACATCTCCTCGGGTTCTTTCTGGTCTCTAAACGAGGATAATCAAAGCTACTCCTGGATGTTCAAGAAATTATTGAAGCTTCGAAATAAGGCGGTTTCTTTTCTGCGTATCAAGATTGGGAATGGGGAGGATACCTTTTTCTGGTGGGATCCATGGACTCCCTATGGCCCTCTTTAGGGATCCCTATCCATTCTCTCGTAAAAGACATAATTAGCGCGGGGCAATGGACTCTTCCTCCAGCTCGCTCGGACAGATTTTTAAATGTGCTCTGTTTCATCTCGACAATCCAACTGTCCTCCTCTAGTGACACTCCGAGTTGGTCTATTGGAGACACCATCTATTATAAGTTCATTTCGAAGCTGGTGTGGGACTCTATTCGGCTTCGTAGACCGACTGTCCCTTGGTCTTCTATTATTTGGCACAAGGCTGCTGTTCCGAAACACCCACTACGGCGTGGCTTTTCGTTCACAATCGAAACCCAACACTAGATCGTCTTCTAAGTTGGGGTTTGGATATGGAACCGGTTTGTCTTCTATGTGGTTCTGCTCATGAACCACAAAATCATCTATTCTTTCAATGCTCCTACTCCTCGTCAGTTTGGCTTTCTCTGGTGCAGGTTCTTTCTATCCCCAACGCACCAAACTACTGGGACCAACTTCTGACTTGGCTCCCAAATGCTACTCCTTCTAAGGATCGGTCGCTGGCATTATTTCAGGCGTGGCAAGCAGCTATCTACGAGCTTTAGAAGGAGAGAAATCGTCGCTTTCATAGTGGCCTCTCTTCTCCGCATCAAACCATTCTCCGCAAGATAATCCTGTCTTTGAGAAACAAATCTATTGCTCTCCACAACCTTGGTTCAAAGCATGGTGAAGCTTTGAAACTCTGCTGGTTGGGTAGCTAGCTCCTTCTTCTTTTTTAATTTCTCCCTCCTCTTTCTGTTCTCTGGTAGTTTGTTTTGGTAACTCTGGTTCATTTGTGATTCCTTGTATCCGTTTAAATTTTAATAGCTAAATGAAAATCTTTTAACAAAAAAGGTGGAGTTTATTTGTTGAAGAAGAATTTTACAAGGTGACTTTACAAAAAAATGGTCCAGAGTTTATACAATTTTTCAGTTGATTGTTTATACAATTTGCCCAAATGGTCCATGAGTACAGTTTTGTTTTTAAGTCTCCGGACATCTGGTCCAAAATCATTTGGAATAATGAAATTAAACAGAATGTGCGTATTTATAAATATATCTGAAATTTCTCTTACTGCTGGCCAAATTTTAAGTACTCTCTGTTTTTTTTTTTAACATCGTTTTAGACCTTTCTATTTCTTTCAAAGTAAATGTCATATTAAGATTTTGGTGTAAATTCTGATATGGAAATAGCTAATGTCCTCTTTTTAAAAATAATAAAATTTAAGTTAATTAAAAGTTCAAGTCATATGTGTTTGTATGAGAATATTAATGAATTTTTAATTTATTTTTGCGTATTATGGGCATGAAAAGTAGCAAAACAACACTTATATGTAGAAAAGAATGACGTATATGTAGTTATCATTGTTACCCTTTACAAATCAACCATTAGCGCCATGTAATGATATTCTGATGATTTTCTATTAATCAATAGATTTAAAGTGTTTCGTTTAAGAAAATCAAGAGTTTATCATATTGAACCCAAAGATATTCGGTGCTATATTAAAAAAAAAACAGTTGGTATGGTTAATGTAGTTGGTACGGGTTGGTGCATTAAAGGGTAGCTAAAATGTCGATTAGTGAGCTAAAATGGTTTCAAATATCAATTCCTATTTTTAAAAAAAAAAAAAATTTTGTAGAATGATCCAAACAGTTACTCAAACAGTTTATTTTGAAATATATTGTGTAGCCATCAATTCACTAAACCAAAGAGAACTTCTAGAGTCTTTCTGAAAAGCGTTTGGGGCGTTTAAAACGCACTGAACACCCAAAACGCTTTTGGTTTTTTGGATGAGCATTAAAATGAGAGGACAAAAGAACTGAGTGGGGATACAGAAAACTTTTAATGTCCACAAAAACAAAACTGTACAGAGAGAAGAAGAGGAAGAGTTAAGCAAAAAGACACGACTTTTCTGGGTTATCTTTTCACTTTTGCAGAAAAACAAAAATCTGTTAAGAAACCCAAAAAGCTTCCTTTTTTTCTGTGCACATTCGTACTTTAAAACATTCTGCTACAAATCTTTCCACAGAGCTTCTATTTTGGCTAAATTAAAAAAAAAAAAAATTGGATTTATTCTCTGAAAATTAAAAACTAAAAGTTAAATAAACGTACGCTTCTTCGTCTTCTTCATCACTCTGCTAATTTAACCCACTCGTAACGTCCTTCTAATGGCTTCTCCTTCTCGAAATCGAAGTTATACCTAATAAAACCAAAAAAAAAAAAACATCAATCTTTAGCTGTAAAATCGAAGTTATAAATTTAAAGTTGAGAACTTTAAACTTTACTTCTTCTTGAATTTATCATGGAGCTGCTTCTCTGCTTCAACGAAGAATTCTTCAATCTCAGCTTCCGTTGGTTGCTCCGTCGTCAATATCACTTTCTCCTCCGTCGCCGTCATCGTCGTCGTCGCCGGTGAAGATCTTCTCCCGCTGCAACAACAATCCGATGATTCTTTAACCGCGGAAACAAAATCAGCTGCGATTTCCGGCGAACTCTCCATCGATTTTTCTCTGAGATTCTCAAACAGCTTTCTCTTCGTATTTCTGAAAGAGAAAATGGACTAAATATAAATAAATAAAGGAACCGGGAAAAAACTTAAAATTCTTCAAAAAAAACTTCAAAATTTCAAATGATTTGAACATTTACTCACCGTCGAAACGTCGACGTTTCAGTGTCACCATCTCTTTCCTCCTGCAACACAACAATGAAAAAAAATTCAAATTTTCAAAAGAAAAAAAACTGTTAAGATCCTTAGCATTAAATTCAAAAAAAAGAAAGAGAAACATTAAATTAAAATTCTGTGAAGATATTAATGATTGACATCTACAGTTACAAAAGAATCTAGAATCCATATTTAATCACCTCCAGATCCATAAATCCATTGCTCTTATACTCGTTACTCGCGCAACAAGACGACAAATTTGAAGAAGAAACTCCTTTATTATCGTCGGCGACGACGACGGAGCTAGAGTTTTCCGATCTGCTGACGTAAACGATTCTCCGGCTACGAAGCTGCATATACGTAGACGAAGCTCCGATCCCAGCTTCCACCATGCCTTTAGCTTTTCTGCATTTTCTCACCATTTTTATTCAGCTTGCGTGTTCGTGAAGCTAAATTCTTTAAGAGAGAGAGAGATGATTAAAGTTGAGAGGACGAGGAAGACGAAAGAGAGAAGAAGAAGAAGAAGAAGATGATGTAGTTTTGCTTTAACGGTCACGATTTGAGTTTTGAGACGCTTTTGATTTTTTTGTTTGATAGAGAAATTGGCGTGTTTTTGTGGTCCCGTTACAGTGACGGGGAATCTTCGACGGGAAACTGAAGGCGCCGTTATTTTGGATCGAATGATGTTGAATAGATCGGGTGACACGTGTCGGTTATTGACGGTGACGTAACGGAACGGGAGAAGGGTAGTGGCGTAATAATTGTGGTGTAACTACTTTTAGAACCCTCCTCTCTATCGCTAAATCACAAATTTGCCATTACGCGGAGCAGAAATAAATGTGATTTGATTGATGTTGATGATTATTTATTGGTCATGCCCTTCATTTTACAAATAAACATTGTTTAATGGTTTTTTTCACATGCATGATGCATTATAAAAGTATATTAAAAACCTTTATTATACACCTACACATAAATTGACTACTAGTATTTTATTATTATTAGATGGGAGATTAGAAATTCACTCATAAGTAAATTATAATAATCAAGAGGAGATAATTATCCACTTTTACCGCCTATGTTTCTTACCGACTTTGATGTAATATTTTATGCTTTTCTTATGTCTATAAATAGACATCTATGCTGTGTAATAATATGAGTGAAATAAGAAGAACATCTCTTCTCTTCTCTCTCTACTCCTTCACTCATCGTCTTCTTCTTACCCCCACCACACAAAACAATACATATATATATACTCACCTATATAATATCATATAATACATAAAACGTTATCAGCACGAGCCGTTCTTATACCGTTCCTATACCGAAAAGGTGAGGTTTAATTTATGTTCAATCCGTCTACTTTTATGTTTATATTTTATGGTCGGGATGATAGGCGCTGCCTTCTCCGAACCGATCGTTATGGAGGCTATGCCTTTACGATCATGATCATATGGTAGACTATGTCTCCTCAGATCAAATATATGGTTGGTTTATGATCATATGGTAGTTGACTCTTCAGATCATTACCTCCATATAATAAATGTCCAGAAGACATTTAAGAAAAGTTCTTGAAAAACTAAGAAAAACATACTATGTCCAGATGACATACTTGAAATAAAAATATGTCCCGAAGACATATGAAAAAGAATAGTTCCAGAAGAACTATATAAAAAATATATATCCAGAAGATATATAAAAGCGTTCCTGAAGAATTGCATAATTAATTTCGTCCAAAAGACGAATATTTATTTTAATTATTGTTCTTTAAATTCTGTTAATTACTGTTATTTAATTTCTGTTTATTATTACTTTAAATTCAGTATTTTAAATTCAGTTTTTATTACGTTTATGAATTCTAAAATTTTATCATGTTTTATTAAAATCAGAATTTTTGAAACTGAATTATGACCAAATTTATAAATTGTTGTATTGATAACAGTTATCATGTCGAATTTGACAAAACTCGAGATTACTGCCCTTGATATTTCTGGAAGAAATTATATGAGATGGGCAGTAGCTGCAAGGATGCATTTAAAAGGAAATGAGCTCCTTGATACCATCGATAAAACAAAAACAGTTCCTGAAGAGAAAAAGGCGAAAGCCATGATCTTTTTATTCCACCATATCCATGATGGTTTAAAAGATGAATATATCACGAAAGAAGATCCTGCAGATCTTTGGTAATCACTCCAAGATAGGTTTTACGATCACCAGAAATATGTGATCTTACCAAAGGCTAGATATGAGTGGTTGAACCTCCGGTTCCAGGACTATAAGAGCGTTAGTGAGTATAACTCCGCTCTATTTGGAATCACTTCCAGGATAATGTTATGTGGAGAAAATATAAGTGATCATGATATGATTGAGAAAACTCTCTCAACATTTTATCCTGGAAACGTAGTCCTGCAGCAACAATACCGGGCAAACGGATACAAGAAGTATTCAGAGTTAATGCAAGTTCTCTTGGTGGCAGAACAAAATAATGAACTCGTGATTTTAAACCATCAATCTCGTCCAACTGGATCAGCTTCATTCCCAGAAGTGAATGTTGCATCGTCAAGCCATGAAAATTGGCAAAGTGGACGTGGACGCGGTCGTGGAAATGATTGTGGTCGTGGACGAGGTTTTGGACGTGGTCGAGGTCGTGGACGAGGAAGAAGATTCCGTCCTGCTGATTTAAACGATGGAAGAAATAACAAAAAGTTCAAGGGTAATGAAGTTGGTCGCAAGCAACATGAGAGTGCTTGCTACAGATGCGGCATGAAAGGACATTGGGTTCGTACCTGTCGTACGCCAAAACATTTAGCCGATCTGTACCAAGAATCGCAAAAGGCGAAAGGAAAAGAAAGTGAAACCAACTTCATCCATGGTGAATCTAGTTTTTCTTTTGATGGTATAAACGATGATACAAATCTCGATATATCTGATTTCATCGTTGATCCCGAAGATATCAACGAAAAACAAAACGAGTAAAATCTTCTCGAAGAAGAAGATGTGACATGATGTATACATAGTGTGAAAAATAAAAATATAAAATATAATGTTTAAAAATGTATCTTTTGTTATAAAAAGGTCTTTATTATAATATAAACTCTTTTGTTTTGCTATATTAATTTATCTTTTATGAATATCTTGAATTCAGAAAATGTCAAAGATTAAGATCGAGGATGGAGATATATGTCTGGCAGACAGTGCGACAACGCACACAATATTAAAAGATAAAAAGTATTTCTCCTCTCTTAATATGAAAGATTCCGCTGGAAGCGTGAATACAATATCTGGTAATGCAAAAATTATTATGGGCTCCGGAAGAGTCAGTTTTTCAATGCCAAGGGGAACAAAGTTTGAAATAAATGATGCGTTATATTCCCCTGGATCTTACAGAAATTTGTTAAGTTTCAAAGATATCCGCAGAAATGGATATCACATAGAAACTATGAATAAGAACGGCATTGAATATCTTTGCATTACATCAGTTATTTCGGAGAGAAAAGTTGTACTGGAAGTATTACCAGCATTATCCTCCGGAATATATTCCACAAAGATAAATATGACTGAATCATATGTTACTGTAAACCCGAAGTTTACAAGTACATTTAAAATCTGGCATGAACGATTAGGGCATCCTGGTTCAGTCATGATGCGGAGAATTGTGGAAAATTCTAATGGCCATCCGTTGAAAAACCAGAAGATTTTTCAATCAGGAGAATTTATGTGTAATGCTTGTTCTCAAGGAAAACTAATAACTCGGCCATCACCAGCTAAAATCGGGAATGAATCTCCAATATTCCTAGAGAGAATACATGGTGATATATGTGGGCCTATTCACCCAATATGCGGGCCATTTCGATATTTTATGGTATTAATTGACGCATCCAGTAGATGGTCACATGTGTGTTTATTGACAACACGTAATACGGCTTTCGCAAAATTCATTGCCCAAATAATCAGGTTGAGAGCACAGTTCCCTGATTATATGATAAAGAAAGTAAGACTTGATAACGCTGGTGAATTCACTTCCCAAGCTTTTAATGATTATTGTATGTCATTGGGAATTGATGTTGAACATCCCGTTGCACATGTTCACACACAAAACGACATGGCTGAGTCATTGATTAAACGGTTACAACTCATTGCTAGACCGTTAATATTGAGAACAAAGCTCCCAATTTCAGTATGGGGTCATGCTATCTTGCATGCAGCGGCATTGCTTCAGATAAGACCGAGTTCTTATAATAAATATTCCCCAATACAATTAGCATCTGGCCAGGAGCCAAATTTATCCCACCTACGTGTGTTCGGGTGTGCGGTTTATGTTCCGATAGCCCCGCCACAAAGATTAAAAATGGGGCCGCAAAGAAGATTGGGAATATATATCGGTTATACGTCACCGAGTATAATTAGGTATCTTGAACCGCAAACTGGTGATATGTTTACGGCACGTTTTGCCGATTGCCATTTTAATGAAGATGAATTTCCAGCGTTAGGGGGAGGAATTAAAGAAGTTCCAAAAGATGTTACATGGTGCACACCATCTTTGTTGCACCTTGATCCCCCTACGAAACAACGTGAACTCGAAGTTCAGAAAATTGTTCATTTACAAAATATGGCAAATGAAATACCAGATGCATTCACAGATACGAAAAGGGTGACAAAGTCATATATACCCGCTGCAAATGTTCCATCGAGAATTAATGTTCCGGAAGAACAAAATGATGGAAAAATAGCGAATGAACCCAAAGTTCAGTTAAAGAGGGGGAGGCCGATTGGCTCAAAGGATAAAAATCCCCGAAAGAAAAAGAAATTGGGAAAACAAAATGAAAATAGTCCAGAAGAACCACATACAGAGAAAGGTCTTGAAGACGAAAATGACGAAGAAAATCATGAGATTTCCATCAATTATGCCCAAGATGGGATATTATGGGCTAGAGATGAAATAGAAGATAATGATGGAATATTTTCATTCTCTGTATGCAAAGAAATTGAATATGAAATTGATGATCCAGATCCAAGGTCCATATTAGAATGCCAGAAAAGATCTGATTGGGAGAAATGGAAAATGGCCATAGAAACTGAATTGATCTCCCTTAATAAAAGGAAAGTTTTTGGACCGATTGTTACAACACCTAAAGATGTACAGCCGGTTGGGTACAAATGGGTTTTTGTGAGAAAAAGAAATGAGAAAAATGAGGTGACAAGATATAAAGCCCGACTTGTCGCCCAAGGATTTTCTCAAAGACCGGGAATTGATTATGAAGAAACTTATTCTCCGGTTATGGATGCAATTACATTCAGATTCTTAATGAGTCTTGCGGCATCCAAAAATCTTGAAATGTATCTTATGGATGTTGTGACAGCATATTTATATGGATCACTTGATAATGATATCTATATGAAAATCCCTGAAGGATTGAAAATGCCTGAAGCATTAAGTTCCAAATCGAAAGAAATATGTTCAGTCAAGTTACAGCGATCACTTTACGGATTAAAACAATCCGGACGCATGTGGTATAATCGCTTAAGCG